AAAAATAAAGCCTTCTTTCCTAACAAGGTTCCAAATCCTAACCCTAAAAAAATTATACTATATATTTTACGGGATTGGTCCAAAATTTAAAAACTTTATATTTACTATATATACTGTATAATATAAAATTAAATCATAATTCGGGCCAACCGGCCCAAAGATTTTCTATAATTCAGGCCGGAATTTCAGCATAATCCACCACAATTATTAAACTTGATATTCCCAAAACACTTTAAAAAAGTTGGACTTTCATCTCCAGTTTTGTTTAAACTTTAAATATGACAAAAAAAAATAAAAATAAAAATATTGTGCGTACCTCTTTGACAAATTCTTTATAGTATGATCCATAAATCCGGTTAATCGAACAAATCGTGCAACGTGTTTTTGGTCTTTCCAATAAGCATGATGTACGGCTGCAAAATCCACCTTTTGAATATCTCTAATTTCATTAAAAGGAATCCAGGATATTGGATATTTACTTTCATCAATATTTCTTTTATATCATCATCAACATGATCATTAATATTTGAATCATTAAAATATTTTTTTGTTTGTTGCTAATTAAAGTTTGATTAATAATTTTAAATTATTTGATAGATAAAAAAACATAATTTATTGCAATACCTAATATTTGTTTTCTTTCTCTAAATATTTTTTAATATACAATAATAGTAAAAAAAAAGGAACTATAATATTAATTTGTAATAGAATAAATAACTCACATTTATACCATTCATTTGCTTTTTGTAAATCTCTTGTTATTCCAATTCCATTTCGATAACAATAACCAACATAAGACATTGCAATAACATCACCATATTTGCGGCTTTTTGATAGCTTTATGCTCATCCTTTTCAACCCCGATTCCATGTTAATAACAATATCCAAAGGTTATTTAGTGCATAAGTATTTCCATATGTTCATCTTTTTCGACTCCAATTCCATTGAAATAACAACATCCAATATTATATATTCTCTTCAGTATCTTCCATATTTGCAGATCTATTAATCTTTGCTTTTGTTCATGCTGGAACACAGAAAGATACTGATTTGTTTAGATTTATAATTTCTGTACATATGACTTTGTCCTGACAGGTTATATTTCATTCTTTTTTATAACGTTATACTAAAAGACAAATTTAGACATGCGTGCGGATGGTGTAACTGATAATTTTTTTTTATCGATAGCTTCTCACTTCCATGTTTGTTTAATTAATAAGTTTAAACATAATTGTACTTCCACAACATTTTAATTTTACTTCAGTAGTACTTGTGGTGATAGGGCTATTTGTAGTTGAGAATCTCTTCTACCGTATAAGCGCGAAATAACGCGCAGGGACGTTATTTTGAATAATGGCCCGAATTAAGCTTAATTTAGGTCAAAATTCGAAATTATGCCCTGCGCGTTATTTCGCGCTTTATACGGTATAAGCATTATTGTCTTTTGCAAGCTTATTAAGCCAATATTGTCAGATATCTTCAGGAACGTCCTGACAATGAAGTACAAGGTGGAGCCTTAGAACATAAAGTTTATCTCTCTGTCAGAGCTTGCCGCAATGAAACCATTATTTATTATCGCGGCTGAAGCTGGAAATTAGGGACCTTGATTTAAAAATATAAACCGTACCTTTAGGGCTCTGACATTTATTACGTAATATCCATTTACTATAAGCCTCCTCCCACATAAGATCTATATGATTGGCCAATTTTAGAAATCATATAATTTATTTGTGTAACGTAAGATATTGATATAATACCCCACCCCTAAAAAATTACGTAATAAATGTCACAGCCCTTAATGTAACTGCGTACTTTTTGGCGTAACTACATGCATCCAGGTTTTTGCATCTATAATCGATTGCATTTTCTTTGATATTAAATAAACTAACTGTAACTTTTGTAATTTTTTCAAGTTGAGATTTTTAACATGTTTAATGTATCAAAATTTTTTAATGAAAGTATCTAACAATTGCAATATAAAAATTATGATTATTTTAATATTACTCAAGTAAAAGAAAAAACAAAGTATGCAAAAATGCTATTGGTTAAACCTAATTAAGAGCAATGCTTAGCTTGTTTAGTAAAATGTGTAATTGGTGTTATGTTATATATTGATGTTATGTATTGGAAAAATTTTTTGGGGGGGAAATGACTTTAAAAGATTGTTCAATATGAAAAAAGCATAATAATAATATTCACTGAATAAATATTTTCAACTAGTAATAGTTAATAAAAAGAATAATTAGTATATTAATTGATGATCTATTACTTAACTAAAGAATTTATATATTACAAATCACATATGATAAGGTCCAAATTGAAATTTTCAGGTTATAAGTGAAGTCAAAAAATTTTTAACCAAATACTGTAACAAAGTGATATAAATAATAAAGAGACACCATAAGGTTTTGATATAAAATTATTAAATATCAACTTTTTATTTTGACAAACTTTACCTTGAGATTTACTATGATAAATCTTATATTAATTAGATTATTAATATACTAGTTTTCAAAATTCTAAACCAACAAAATCACTTTGATACAATATTTACTAGATTTAATCTTAACTCTTTACAATGAACTTTGTACTCAAGTATTATATAATAGTAAATAAATATTTATATTCTTGGCTTGTAAGCTTAACTTGCTAATTTTGATTTATACTTGTAGGTTAATTATGCAATATAATATATAACTTCTATTTTAACTTGCAATTTATAAGATTTTTTAGAGATTTCTAAATAAACCAATAAATAGAAAAAAGGTGGATTTGTAATTATATATTAAACACATTAGTTTAATAGAATTAACAGTATGTAGTAAAAGATTGTACTTAAAACAATTCATAATTTGTCAAAAAATAATTATAGTGATTTATTATTGTTATTATTTTGCAATATAAAGTTTATTACAACAAAATCTTGTACAAGTATCAAAAAAGATAAGTGTACATTATTGAACAGACGACAAAAAATAACAGCAAATTGTTTTTTTTGTCAGAATTAATATTACTTCATGTGCTGCTATGCAGCACATAAGTGAAATTAACTCTGATAAAAAAAACAATTTGCTGTTATTTGTTGTATGTATATTCAATAATGATATTATCTGATAGTTAATATGACCATGTGAAGTTTTTTCTGTGATGTTTTGCAAAACTGATTATACAAAAAATATTATGACAAAAAAATTCACATAATTATATGAAATGTCAGATTCTAATATTTACAGTTTTATAGTTATTACAACTAAGATTTTAACTAAACAAAAAATATATTAAAAAAATGTGTATTTTTATAATAAAAAAAAGTAAATTTCTTTAATTATTAATTTTTACTTTGATAATCAAGCTAATTTTATATTGGTATCTGTTAGAGAAGTATTATTTATTAGTTAATTTTTGTAAATAGTAAAATTTTTCTCCTTCCTCAAATGATTATGATTATATATAAATATATATAAATATAATCTATTGGTATGATATTTTGGTACTCACTCCCTGCTAAAAAAATCAGATAATAAATAATACTTCTCTTATCAAAATATAATTGAAGTAAAAAAGATAAATATAAATATTTATTTATTATTAAAAATCTACAAAAATAAGTTTTAATAGTGAAATATCAAAAATTGCAGAATGTTATCAAAATAGAATTAGAATAACAAAAAATTTATATAAAAAAATATACTACTATAGTATTAAAGATAAATTTTATTAAACTTAAATTTAAATATATATTACAATTAAATTATATAAATAAGGTAATTAGTATAGATAGATAAATTGATTTGAAAACATCATATTGGTAAGTATTTATGTTCTTGGTTTATAAACTTTGATTTACTAATTTTAATTTTACTAATTAATAAATATTTTTTATATTACAAACTGAATAAGATAATTAGTATAAATAAAAATTTTGTAAAGTAAGCAAGCATTTAGTTTTTAGTTTGTGAATTTGATTTATTAGTTTAATTTTACCAATTAACAAATATTCTTTATAATTTTTTTTTTTTTTTTTTTTTAAGAGAGGTTATTTCCTCGTATCCTTTATTAATTTTAACTAAATTATTTTGTTTTACAACAATTATCTAGTCTAATTATTATGGATGGGGGATTAAGCTATTTTACTTCTGACCTAATCTTAGATAGATCAGTCAATGACCTCTAGGCTATGTCGCATATTTCAGTTGGATTGGAATTATTTAAGATGTATTGTTGTATCCAATTAAATATTTGATATTGTTTATCATTGTTTCTCTTCCCTTCTTGATTAGTTTTCATTGTGTGATTTGGTGGGTCTGCAACTTGATTTAATACCGCTCTACTCGGTTTCCAGATATATTCATATGTTCTCTTGATTATTTCATGATATAATTGTGCTGTTGCCGCTTGATTTCTCGTAGGTAGAGTCATTTCATTTATAATAAAGCCTAATAGTGTTCCCTTATCAATGTGTACTTGCATGAACCTATTAATAAATTGATTAGTATTTATTCTATCAGCATTGAACTTTTGTGAGATTTCGTCTATGGAATTTTTTATTATCGATTTAATTGTTATTGTATTGGCTGGACACATTATCCAGTGCTGGTTGTCCTCTTGATCGAATGTACATCTAAGACATTTAGGTGATAGTATTGTGTTAGAATTGCGTTGGTGTAGTATTTGGCAGTTTGTTTATTAAGAGTTTTATTTTAAAATTTTTTAATTTTGATGAGGCTGAATTGGTGTTTCGTTGATTAGTTTTATCTCCCCAGTTTATAGATGCGAAGGTAATTTTCCAGTTGATTGAATTGTCATTCATATTCCAATAACCTATCCTTTTTTGTATTGACTATTTGTATATATTATTTGCTCTTGCAAGGTTTTTCATTAGTAGTCTTAAAGGGGTGTGAATTGGGTATTCATATATTTCTAAAAAGTAAAAAGTATTGACGAAGCTTCTTGTGTCAAATTCTGTTATTTGGATCACCTGGTTTTGTTGTTTTTTAATTTCAGTACCCGAACTTGTTCTTATTTTTAGATTTATTTGTTCTATCAACCTCGATAGGGTTATGAAAAATGGCAGTAGGTATTCTTTATTCAGTTTGGTAAGTTCCATACCTGTAAATCTGTTGAGTTTAAGAATTTAATTATACTTTGAGAGTTAGTATTAATTGTAACTTTCGTATTATGCTTGCAAATTATTGCAACTACAATTAATGCTAAGATTGCTACTTTTTTTGGTGTCTTCCAGTATTGATTACTAAATATTATGATATTATCTTTTAACTTGATCACCGCTATCGGTGTTATTATGTTCTCTATTTTTGTAGTTGATATTAGTATATCTACAATTGATATTATTTCAAGTGACTGTGCTATGGACCAAATTTGATGATTAATGTTAGTAAATACTTCCGCTATATCGTATGAGAGTCTTAAATTACTTGGGATATATGGTTGTACTATTTGTCGTAAGTTTTTTTTTTGTCTGGTCTTTGTATAAATTGACTACTTTCTCCATGCCAATTTTTCCGTTTATCTACTTTGATTGTGTAAACTTGTTCTGAATTGACTTTGGTCTTACAGAATTTCCCATTGTTGTTCATGTTAAGTTTACATCCTCTGCATTTTGTTACTTTGTTTTGGCTATTTAAATTCCAATGTTGTATCATAGTTTGTGTCTTATTCGTTGTTTTTATTCTTCCTATTATCTTCTGTGTTGTGATTACCCATCTGTGACTATACTTAGGTGGTACCATGTTCCATATGTATGGGTTCATGTTTGGAAATGTTGTCGTCATTGAAGCTTGGTTTTCAATCAATTCTTGTATTTTATCAACCCATTTTGGTTTCCTCCCTCTTGGTATTTTTTGTATATTATGATAAAATTGTTGCTAGCTTATAAATTTGGTGCAGTTGTAATTGAGGAATTGTTCTATTGCTACTACACATTGCGAGTTTAATTGATGGTTTATTTTTGTTGCTGTTGGGTCATTTATTAGTATTTCATTAATTGAGATTTCTTGAAACTTTAAAGGTTGGGGCCATCGTTGAGGTGGTTCTTGAAAACTCATATTCATTTGATGCATAGATATTAGCAATTGGTTGGTGAAAGTAAAGTATTGTTTAGGTGTAACCACGTATCTACTTGTTAGAATAGACGTGTTTGTTTGTGCACAGTTTTGTAACTACTGAATACGTATTTTGAATGTAGGCTGCATTAAGTTCAGTTGGTTAGATAATGTGATGATGTGTTCTACTTCTTGTAATTGGATTATATTCTTTAATCTATAGATCATCAGATTAATTATTGTCGAATTCGGTATGCTTCTTGCTAAGAATGCTTTTTGTTTGACTACATTGATGTAACGCGTAAGTAACTTTTTGCATATTGATAGTGGTAATATTGTATTCTGTAATTAGTATTTAATTCTTGCGAGTAGTACTATATTAATAATATATATTGCTTGTTTCTCTGTGATATGTGAGTATTGTAATTTGTTTAATTGTTGATTAAACTCCTTAGCTATTTGTTTAGCAACGATTGTATTTGTTTTGGTATAGTCAATATAAGTTCCTAAGAATCTTAGAGTTTTGTCAATTGGAAGGTTATATATATTTTGGTTTTGGAAAGTGATTGGGTTGAGGTCGTTCTTATTATTATGCAGTAATACTGATTTTTCTGGGTTTACTGAAATATTTGCGAACTGATAGAATGATTGGGCTGTTTCTAAGATTTTTTCTAATTGTTGTCTACTTGAGGTAATCCAAGTTATATCATCCATATATGCTAGGACTGTTGTATTATGTTTAATTGTTTTTTGTGATTGTGGGTGTGTTACTGTCATCTCATATCCTGTATACTCTGTTGCAATACGCGTAATAAGCAGGTCATAATATATCCTCCACAGTATTGGTGAGATTGTTTCTCTCTGATCTAGCCCATCTTGTACTTTATATGCGGGGTCATACCAATCTGTGTTATTACTTGATTAGTGCGGTTAAAGAGGATGTTTGTTAGTAGTTCAATGATTTGATTTGGTAATTTAATTCTTTGTAATGCTTTGGTAAGTAGCGGTATATGTACGGTATTATAGACTTTTGAAGTGTCCTGTGCGAGGATCCATAGTTCCTTATTATTAGTAAGGGCATTTGCATCAGTTGGTTGATAGGGTTTGCTGTAGATGTTCCTGGTAATGCTACGTTATTGTTTGCTGAGTCTTTCTAGAGCTATATTGATTCTATTAGTTATTATTTTTGTTAGTATTTTCCGAATGTGTTCGATTAATATAATTGGTCTTGTCCTGTGTAGGTTGCCATCAGTGTATCCATTCTTTGCAATTGGCCACACAAGTCCTTTTGTCCACTCCATTGGTATTATTTTATATTGAAGACATGCATTAATTATATTTAGTATATTTGAAAGTGCCAATTCAGAGAGGTGTTTGAGCATTTCGTTCGATATCTGTGATGGTCCAGTTGCCTTTGCTACAGGTGCCTGATGGATAGTATTATTTAATTCTAGTATAGTTATAGGATCTGTTATTGTGTTGTATATATTTGCATCGATACTCGTGATGGGTTTATATTATTGCATGGGTCTTATGTAACAACCTGTGCAAATTTGACAAGCTTATTTTCACTGATCTATATGAAAATCATGTGATTTGCATATAGACTGGTGAAATTCAGAAATTTAGTTTTTTAATATTAAATCAAAAATTCAAGACTAGGAAACTTAAATTGGGTGAAATTTTTAAAAATTCTTAAAAATCAGGGCCGTGAAACTTAAAATTGCATGCCAATATCATAAAGCTTTTATTTAATTGCTCATAATCAATAGTAATTTTTTTTTAAATACATAATAAAAAAAAAATTCATTGGCATTTTATATCTCGAATTTAAGATTTAATGTAATTGTTAATGGCTTGTCAGTTGGCGAGATATGCAATATAATATTATTTGAAATTGGGCTAAGAGTTTGCCGGGTTGATTGAACTTGAAGTTTAGAATAGTTTTGTGTTTGCGATTGAACTTGAACGTTAGAATAGTTTTGTGTTTGCGATTGAATTTGAAGGTTACTTTGGTCTTGATGCGGGTTAACATTTTGATTAGTTGGCTGATTTTCGTATAATAGTTTTTAGCTTTTTTTATTCGATGGATTTTTTAGAAGAGGCGACTTGAATAGTGCATAAAGTTTTGATTTTTGCTGAGAATCAGTTGGTGCTTTAGCAATATTTATCTTTTTTTGTGGTATGTCATTTCTTCCTTGATCGTTTATTAATTCAAATATATATAATTAGATAATAACTAATAGTTTATATTTTTTTTTAAAAAAAAATTTATCTTCATATTCAATTTCATTTACGTGCTTATCATTGTCCACGCAATCACCATCATCTTCATTATCATCTTCACTTTCGGACTGGTGAGTATATAAGTTGCCCGGGTAAGAGTAAAATTCTTCAAGATCATTATCATTTGCTGCATACAGAATCAATGTTGCTGTTGAGCTTAATCGTTGATCATCGGTAAGTTTGCTATATGATCTAATTCCTTCATGAGACCTATGTCCTGAGAAGCTCATTATTTCATCTTCAGGTACATCCACAGCTTTAAAATCATAATTGCACTTCTTCGTGCGCTGTGGTTTGTAATTTTACGCTCATCGACATTAATTCCTGTTTTTATAGTTATTTGATGTAACATTCCTCTTAATTTATTTGTACCCATTCTTGTTGATTTATACCAAATTCCATTATTAATCGCTAAATAAAGATAAATTAATTTTTAAATTTAAATATACACAACAATGCATTTTAAATACCTGATTTTTTCCTTACGCATTCTAAAAATAATGGATCGGTAACCTGACAGTCTGATGGACACTTAGATAAATAAAGTAATATGTCGCCAACTGGCTTGAATTGGTTGTCATCATTATCGAAAGGAATTGGAACTGTTCTTGTAGCCGTATGTCCATATCGTTGACAGTAGAAAATTCCTCCTTGGTTATTTTTTTCTTTACGAAATCGTAACTGCAATCTACCATCCTTACGTCGTTCAATATCATGGTACTGTAAGTTGTATGTATCTCCACCTCGAAGCCCACAGAGCAGAGAAACCCAAAAAAAGACCTGCCGAATTAAACTTTCATTGTTATCGATAGACAAATAATCATGCTTCAAACAGGAAGTAATCTCGTTAGGAGTTAGTGGACTGCTTTGATCTGTATCACCAAACCCTGCATCTTGTAGTGATCTCATTTTTCTATTTAAACATCATAATGTTTTTGGAAAATTATATCGATCCCAAATACGTATTCCACCCGGAATTGCTGTATTTTCTTTTAAATAACGAGCCAGAGCTGCATAACAATTATGTAAGGACTCGACCTTAAAGGGAGTTCCATCTTTTCTTTCAATCCAAGCGATAAATAAGCTGAGGTAGGTGTCAAGTTCTTCTTTATTATCGATTTCTTCTAATTTTTTTACAACATTACGTTCTTTTCTATATCGTTCCACATGCCGAAGCCATTTTTCAGTATTCTTGTCTGTGTTAGTGACCCAGGATAAATTCGTGAAATGTTGGACTTCTTCTTGTAAATCGTCACTCATTTTTTTTTTTGTTTTTTTTTTGTAAAAATATGTATGAAAAAAAAGGTCAATAAAAAAAAGAACAGAAAGAGAGTAAGAGTTGAAAGAAATATACAGTTTCGAAAAAAAAATATGCTATTACATCAATAATTCTAATGATTAAAGAAGTGATCTATTATGTGAAGAGAGTTGCACGGGTTGTTACGTCAGACCCAAGCAATAATATAGTTATTGCACGGGTATGTAGTGAATAACCGAGTTACACACCAATTCATATTTCAATCCCTGTGGCTGAAGGCCACGGGATTTAAATATGAATTGGTGTGTAACTCGGTTATTCACTACATACCCGTGCAATAACTATAATGTATTGTTCCCAATGACTCTATAGGTCCCAGTTCGAAGGATTGTGGTTAGTTCATTTCTTGAAGTGTTTTGACATTGCTTTTTTAATTAGAGTTGGGACTGTTATGACTTTTGTCGTGCTGTAACGTTGATAGAGCTGATGTGTTGTTGTTGGCGTTTTAAAATGCTATCAATCATTCTTGTTGTATTATCTGCAAAGTTTTGCTGTCTTCTAATTATGTGATTGTAAATTACTATTTTCTGTTGTTGCCGGTTTTCCACATTGCATGCTAGATACAGTGCTTTTCTAAGTTCTTTGATCTTAGCTAGGGTTTGTCTGAATTCATTTGTGAATAAGTCTGTTTTTTTTATAGCTGTAATGATAGTATTCGCAGAGTCGATCCCTGTTAAAGTCTCATTTATCCTTTCCTTAAGGTATTCTATTAAAAGAGGTGATGGTTGAGTAATGAGAATGATTATCTTATTGATTAGTTTAAGGTTTTGATGTAGTTTGGTTGCCTTTTGTGAGAAAGGTTTAAAGGTTTTGTTACAAGTATATTTAAACAGTATTGACTTATTTGCCACTTGTTTAATTATTTGTTGCATATTGTTCCAGGCTTTATCCATTGTTTGCTGGTCTCAGATCGGTTTGTATGTTGATCTGACCTTTTTTGTATATGTATCTATTAAAGTTTTAAATTCCTGCCACTTCTCTGTATTTATTTGTAAATATAGAAATACTTTGCGCCTGATTTTTTTAGTGCGTGGGATAGCTATTTTATATGGTATTTTCCACTGTGATAAAATAATCTTGTGGTCACTATTCGTCGAAGCTTCTGATAATAGTATTTGGGGATATGCCATATCCATTACAATTTCAGGATTTACCCAGATATCGTTAATTTGACTAGAGGTTGATTGGTTGCTCCATGTGTGACTATCATTATTGTAAAACTGGAGTAGACTAATGAGGCTAGAATTTGCCAAGTAAGATATTAGTACCAATAGTTTTTCTTATTAATGTTTGAATTAAAGTCACCAGCTACGATTATATTATAGTTAAATAAGCGAGCCTGTTGTATCCATTGGATGATAGCTTGTTGCGCTGTATTAGTCTTTGTTGTTACTGTAGACAGAGTGTATATTTCAATAACTCTAGTCTTGTTACCATTAGGCAAAAATAGATCAATCAATCATTAGCCCTTGACCAGGTATTTGTTTAATATTATGTATATAGGGTTAAATTGACTCTTTTAGTGCAATTGCTACTCTCTTAGAGGACTGTTGTAAGGTAGCATTATATTCATCGCAATTTGCTATATATATTTTGTACCATGGGTTTATTAGGCTTGCAGGGTGTATATAGTCAGCTGATAATTTTGTCTCGGTCATTATACATATATCTGCATCTAAAGAGAAGCAGTATTAGAGCTATGTATTAAGTTTTAAATTTGCGTTGATTCCTTGTACATTATAAACTACTATACCCAGTTGGCTATTTATATTTTTTTTGAATAGGGAATTGCTATTGTTTATGCTTGTATTACCATTGTTTGTATTTAAATTTGGGGTTTGCATATTTGTTATTTGTGATACCTGAGTGTTTTTTGTTTTATAAATTGTGTAGATATTGTCCAACAGGTTGTTGGCAGGTATTTTTGTTCTGCTCATAATAGATCAGGTGCGTAATTGTCCACTATATCCCAATCCGGTGCAGGTAAGTCTGGGAGATCGTGGATATAGTTAGGTGTAGCTTTAATATCATAGTAAGTACTAATACTATCCATCGTATGCTCAATTTTTTTATATTCTTTGATGGGTAATTGTAAATAGAGGTTTGGGTTGAGAACCGCTAGTTGCTATTGTAGGTCTTCAATGTTTGATAGTATTGCTTGTTTGGCTTCAGGGTTATTATTATTTGATTTCTCTTTATTTCTAATCTGTATCCAATCTTGGGGGAGTCATCTGAAGAAGTAATGGTTGTGTAGCTCTCTTGCTATTTCTACTAGTAATTTCGGGGAAGTGATTAGGATGGTTAGGTTCATTGACTGGATTTGAGTATGATCAAATAGTAGGTTTGGTTTATTGGTGTAATTGACTTGCGTGTAACTTTTTAGAAGTACTTCTGGAATGCGATACTCCTCTTGAATTTCTGCTATGAATTGTAAGACACTAGTTTTGTCTGTGATGGGGAAGCTGTAGTTTCTGATAGTGTTAAGTGATAATGGTTTGTCTGGTAGGGATTTTTTATTGATAATATAATCGCTTGGTAATCTTCTAAATTTGTAATATCTTCTGAACTTTTCAATTAGACTCATGAACTCTTGGTCATTTTTTGGTTTATATGAGAATAGATGTCTCACTTCTTGTATAAGTGCTTGGGCATCGATGGCAGATCTATTTTCTCTGGAGGTAGATTAAAATATGTAGTCAGCGGTTTATCTTTTAATATATACTGTTTCCTTAGCTGTTTTCTGTATTGGGTGAGCAATCCTAGTTTACTTCGATCTGTTATTGGAAACATATACTTGAATTCGGGACTTAGATTGGTAGGGTGTTCTGGGATTGGTTTTCTTGCATTGGTAAAGTATTGGTCTGGGATTATCTGAAATTTGTATATCAGTCTAAGTGCTTGTGCGGCATTAGCTGTTCTGCTATTATCTTCAATTGGTATTGAAAAGGGTATAATATCTAACATGTCTACGGGAATATCACTTGGGTCCTTAGGTAGTTGATCACAATGGTCTAATTGTACTTGATTTATAATACTTCTTGCTTTCTCGAAGCTTATTGGTGATTTGATTCTTGTGAAATTCATTAGGTAGAAGATTTGTTGGGTGCTAGTGTGACTGCCCAAAAGATTAATATTAAATGTGATTATATTATCTATCGCTATCTTTTTTCTAAGTTTGTCATAAATTTGGTTTCAATTATTTTTGTTGACTAATAATACATTATGTTTCCTTTTGTATTTCTCAATCGCTATGTTCATTAGCGTATTGAATTCTTTTTGATAGTCAGGTTGTGTACTCTTGATTTTTGAGAATGATCTAAAGAATGCTGTGTCTCTATATTTCAACTTGCTTGCAATTGCCTTAGGTATATTAATTGTCGGGATTGCTATTTGAATTTTGTGTTTGATAAGCTGTTTGAATAATTTTTCATCTTTAAGTGCCTGGATAATCGCATCATTATTCCATGTTTCATGACTAAAGGCTCATTTCTTTCTTTTTTCTAGTTCATTGACGAATTCTGTTAGCCATAAGTTTTCTGGTTTTTGATAAGAATTTGGACCTCTGCGTGCTGCTGCTTGACTATAAGATTTCTGATTTGCTTTATACCACTTCTGCACCTGTTGTTGCATTATAGAGTCCTCTTCTGGTAAAGGGGCTGGACCACTAGGGCCCGAGTCATCTTGTGTTTCCATTGGTTGGGGTCCGGTAGGTTCTACTGGTCTATTTTGAGTAGTATCGGTCACTGGATTGTCATTGTTTAGAATCGGTTCCATGGAAGTTTGGTGTTGGGTATCTGCTACTTCTGATTGTTGTGTTGGTGTCAGTACCCCAGTCATTGTGTTTGTTTTGTTTTGTTGGTCATCCACATTTTTTGTCTCGTTTGCCTCTTTGTTTGATTGGCTTTGGTTTTGGTTCACTTCTAAAGTTTGGTTTGGAGCAATTGTAGTTACTTCCGTATTTTGTTGGTCCTGAGGATTTGATGACATTTCAACTTGTTGGACTTGATGTGTTTGGGCCATATTTAAGTCACTTCTGCGGCATTTTGTTGGAGGTAGTTCTCTGGCCTGGTGTTGGGATACACCTTCCAGTTGGGAGAAGGCGTTTGTTGCCAGGTGCTGATAATTGTGGTTGTTAAAGTTGTTGGAATATGTTCGTTTAGCTCGATTATTAGACACTTTTACTTAAACTTCTTTAAGTAGTTGTAATAGTCAAAAACTATGTTTCCTGTTATTTGTTTACTTAGTAAATACAGGGGTTTGGGAAAAAGTCCTCCTAATCTAATATTTTTTATAATTACAGGCTAATTAAGATAATTTGAAAAGCATAATGTAGTAATAAACAAATATTTATATTTTTAGTTTAACTTGATTTACTAACTTTAATTTACTAATTAATGAATATTTTTTATAACACAGGCTAAATAAAATAATTAACATAAATAAACCAATTTAAAAGATATTTTAAATAGTAAGAGTAAAAATATTTATCACTTAATTTTTTTTTATTAGAGGCTTACTTCTCTAGCTTTTAATATATGATTAATTAAATATTATATATAAAATTTTAATTTTTTTAACCTTCTTCCTTCTAAAAAATCACTTAATAAATATCTCTATCTAAATAAATATTTAGTTTTTGGTTTGTAAATTTGACTTATTGCTTTAATTCCACTAATTAACAAATTTTCTTTATAATTATAAACTGATTAAAATAATTAGTATAAATAAAATAATTTGAAAGATGCAATATAGTAGTAAATAAATTTATATTATTTTACTAACAATTACTTTATAAACACTATATTTTACCAACAATTATTTATCAACAAGTTTATTTTACTAATATTTATTCACTAAAGCTCATTTTATAGACAAAGTAATTCTGATTGATATCATTAAAGTCAGGCTAGAATTAGAGTTAAAGTTAGTATAATTTATAAAAAAAAACTTGTTAATAAAATAAGCTTTAGTGAAATAAACTATAGATAATTGTTGGTAAAATATAGTGTTTACAAAATAATATAGATTCATAATTATACTTACTAGCAAAACTCATAAGATTTGAAATTGTTTATAGACAAATCTAGACAAATAGAATTATTTAACTATGCTTAAAATCCTATATGAACAAATCTCAAATCTCAAATTTCATATAAATAAATTTTAAATTTTAAATTCATAAATCTTATTTTAATTTCAAATAGCAATAATTATACAATTTTTACAAATTTGTCAAATTAAATTGATAAAAAATAACAAATTTGTAAATAAAGCTTTAGTTATATTAATAAATAAAAAAACAAATTTGCTATAATGTTTAAAATTGTATTGATACTTATTATTATATAAAATATTGTATACTTTATTCTTTTTTCAAAAATAAACTTTTTTTAGTATTCTTAACTATTAATCTTGCTACATATAAATAATTTGGCTTTTTTTTTTATAATATATAAGCTCTATTTTATAGTATTCTTAACTATTTACTCTGCTATAAATGATTTAGTCTTTTTTTTTTAATAATATAATACTATTTAATTTAATTTTTATAATTATAGTAACTTCTATTTTTTTTTTAAAGAGAGTTTTTTTTATTTTTATTTTTTAATTTTCTTTGTATTTTTTTAATTTTTTTTAATTTTTTTTTAATTTTTTAAAATAAATTATGTAGCAAATAATAAATATATAACAAACAATAAATATAAGTATATAACAAATAATAAATATATAAATAACAATGGAATTTCTAATAATTTAGTTAGTAAAACTGAATCATTATTTATACAAACTAAGTTATTAAATATAGTAAATAGTCTTTTGATCAAATAAATAATAGAGCAAAAAAACATAAAATAATAATTTGTAGATATTGTAAGCAAAATGGGTTTAAGAAAAAGTTTATAATATAAAATCTTATTTTGCAATAAACTATAAGAAAAAAATATCTAGAGAAATCTAATTTAAAATATTTTAGAATTTTTAAAATAAGCCTATATTATCTAAATTAGCTATTTTTAAAAACAAAAATCTGTATATTTTTAGCTATTTGTAGATATATATTATAATATATATAAAAAAAGCTACTAATAAAGCTAAAAAAGTAAGTACTAATCAATTACTAATTAAATAAATTGTAAGTTTTGATATTTTATTTTTTGTATTTAATAATTCTTATTTTGAAGATTTTATCAAAGAATTAAATCCTAGTTATAATATATCTAAACATACTACTTAATTTTAAATATAAAAGTAGCAAATATTATAATAAAAATAGAACAAAGGTTGTTTAAAGCTAAAAATCTAACTTTATATATAAATAGTTAGTGCAGCCTATTAAAACATAGTATATACATATTGTATCTTTATTATAATAACAAGTAAAAGAAAACAGTATATCTATTCTTTACAAAATTTTTCAAAATTTGCTTATATTTCAAATTTTAATATTAAAAAATACTAGAAATATTAGAAAAAATTAGACCAGAAAAATTTATATAGCCATATAATAAGTTATTTAAAAATATTCATATATTTTACTTATAAGATACATTGTATATCATATTTATTTATTTATTTATTTTTTTTATTCTTTGACAGGTCTTGTTGTGACTCGAACTCTTAGTTTGTAGTATATATAAACTATATACATAATTTCTAAGATTAAATAAAAGCCCAACTCTGCCTAGTTATCTAATGATTACCTGGACACAACCTATCGCACTAGCTTACGGATAAGCTAGAAATAGACTTTTTTATGAGCTTGTTTAAAAGAGGTTTACACCCTTCTGTATCCAATTCCTTACTACATCATACTATATATTGTACTTCTCCTTATCCTTTACAAATATTTCAACTTCTTCTTTTTTGGATTTTTCTTTATGAATAGTTAAAATATTCTTCTTTGGCTGTACTTCTTTGGTTTTCTTAATTCTTTTATCCTTCTTCTTTATATTATGATTTTTTTCCCAATCGACAATCTTGATACATTTGTCTTTCCAAATAAAATCATAAAAGCTGTTTCAAATTATATGCATAGCAAGTTCTGTAATATAGGATGTCATTTTTGATGAAATTCAGAAATTTAAGATTCTATTAAATAAATCCAACGTAGTTAGGCCTTTAATCCATAGCTTTCTATTTTCTTGCCTATTAGAGTCGGTCTCCCCAATTAGAATTTTAGACAAGAGATTTTTCAGGCATCTCTTCTTTTTTCTTTCGTAAATTTGGACCATACCAGATCCAGAGTTGTAGTCTCGATACTTTGCTACATTAATTTATAGTGATCACATTCAGCTAGGTGATCCTGGGTCTCTACTATGCCAATGTTGCATGCTAAACATTCACTATTTATATAAATATCTGGTCTTCGTATTGCCAATGTTTTGAGAACTGGTAAATTTTCCGAGAAACACTTCAATTGCGTAGCTAGCTTCTTACTTTTCTTTAACATATTACATTTCGCACCTTTGAGCTTTTTTAATCTTTTTCAATATGAGAACCAATCCAATGTGGGCTTGTTTGAATCAGGTTCTAAGATTAGAATTGAGCTCGTTAGTTTCTAATTTGTACTGTTCCAAATTTTAAAATCTTTTTAAGAAAAAGCCTAGTTGTTTTTTGACTTTATATTCTCTCCAAAAAAGAGAAAAAGAGATTCTTGTATTAAGGTCCAAATGATGTTTGTTGAGTGCATTAAAGAGGTAGCTTTTTTTGCAAGTGTATCTGCTCTATCATTCTATTTGTTGTCGCTGTGGCCTTTAATTTTTTTAAGTTCCAGATTGATCTTTTTTGCTTTGATAAGATCTGCAATTTTGATTAGAATATCCCAGTTTTTTTCCTTAAAGATCTTATTGAATCTCCATTCACTTTTGATCTTGTCTATATTGGAGATTGCTGCTGCACTATCTGAGTATATGCAAATATTACTATTTATTGGAATTGTAAAAAGAGCAAGCCAAATTGCGATAAGTTCAGGTTTTGTTAATGAAGGCCAATTTTCTACCTTTGCTATAACCTCATATAATGACCATTTTTGTTTCTACTTGTGCCCAACCAATACCTATACTGCAATTATCTATATCTCGAACTAATGAACCATTTGTGTATATCCAAAAACTATTCATATTAAAACTAATATTTAAATCTAAACTATTATTTAAACTACTATCTAACTCTATATTAAAATTTTGATCTGTTATTAATTGTTTATCTAAAGATTTCATGTTTTGTATGTTAATGAACAAACTTTCTTCCTTTCTCAGTTTCATTATTTTTTGTCTACTTTTACTGCTGATTAGGATATCTTCATATCTTAAAATATGCTTTTAATTATTCTTTTCTAATAGCTTTGGGATTACTGTTAAAACATTACTCTGGCTCATCCAACTATAAATTCCCTCCTAATTTAGTAAAGATGCTTCTTCACATTTTTCTATTTCAATATACCCTGCTATTAAGCTATTTTCTTTAAACTTTCAATGCTCTGTAAGAACTTTACGTTTATCTTTTCTAACAATCTTTCTTGGCTCTAATTTATTGTTTTCCTTATCTATTAGTACACATTCTTTTTTTCTATTGTCTGAAGAGATGGGTATAAGCGGTACCAGAGGTACTAAATTGTTTGGACTAGATATTTGGTGAACTTCTTTAATCTCTCTGTTTTCTGGATTTTGTAACATAGCATTTTCTCAAAAAATGAACCATTTGGCTTTCTTTCCCACTTTTGGTTTGCCTTTTGCCGCCTTGAGTTGTTGCCATATTAAGAGCCTTTTCTCTTCTCTGTCAAGTAGTTGATCACAAAAGAGGATACTCTGATTGAGAAGATTTTTGTATGATTTTAAGAAAAAAGGGAATTTATTGTTTCTCTTATTTGTGGTCCAGTATCTTGAAAGAGCCAGCAATCAAGCATGGGTCTAATGTCCATATTGAAGATTTTTGCTTTATATAACATTAAACATGTTATATTGAGTTTCCAGATCGAATTCAAGTATGAATATGTTTCAAATTGCCAATTACCCTCAACC